CTCCATCTGCCTCGCTCACCTCGGAATGCCCAGCACATAACAGAGGGCCTGGCACCCAGCATGGCCTCAATTTGAATTGAAGAATGAAAGACAATATTATTATTCACATTTTACAAGTGAAGGGAGTGACTGAGGGAAGGAAGTCACTTCTCAAGGTCAAAGTCCACTACTGGAGGAGGTAGTGCTTGAACCCAGGAGTCCTGGCTCCCAGATGGCTCATTCCACTCCTGTGTTGCCTGGGAGGAGGGTTGTCTTGCTATTTCTGGGGGATATCATTTAGAGTCCTGGTGCCCCCACCTGGTAAGGGACTCCAAAACAATCACAGGCCAGCTCTCAGTGGGTAGCAGAACCCCCCAGTGGCTGCCACCTGTGAGATGCCCACAGCCAGAGTCAGCATGACTCCAGTCTCGTACTGCCTGGTCCCTCTCATTTCAGGATCACTCAGCACCCCTCAGGCAGGTCCTCAAACACCCTGCAATTACTCCCACTCTCCCAGGAGCCAGGACAGGGATAATTAATGAGGAGGGTGACAGGCTCTTCTTCATCACCAAGAATATCTCCCACCTCCTGGAGGCATTTCTGCCTTAGGTCTGATGGTGAGAGTTCTCTCATGATTATGAAGCTCTCTCCCTTTTTGTTATCACTTAACTCTTTCAGCATTGTGCTAAATTCTGGTCAGAGATACTAACATGTGGAGCCCCATGTGGGCAGGGACCTTGTCTGACTTGATCACTGTGACATCTCCACTTGTTCTAACAGCTCTAGATACACAGTAAATGCTCAATAGCTATTATTAAATGAAGGAACTGAGAGCTTATCCTGTGTCAAGAACTTACTATACCTATCTATTACAGGGGCTGTTATCAGCCCATTTCACAGATTAGGCTACTAAGATTCAGAGAGTTAAGAGATTTGCCCAAGGTAAAAAAATTTAGTAAGCAGTAGATCCAGGATTCAGCCATAGGTAGTCTGGGCCAAAGCACCAACTCGGAAAGATGAGGATTAGGAATTCAGACAGGAAGGTAAAGATGTTCAATATTCTAGTGATGAACGGGCAGGGATGTGGACATGAGGGCAACTTCCAAACTAGGAGATAATGTTTACAAGAGAAGAGAACATGACAAACACATTTTTAAACTGAACCCAAAGTCCCAATTCTCATGGTGATCAGGATCCATGAAGGCAGTTTGCTGAGACTCAGGTGGGCTTCCTTGCACATAACACAGGGGACTGAGAAAGGCAGGGAATCAGGCTAGCCAGGTCAAACAGGTCCCTGACTCAATACCCTTGGAATTTAAGCTTAAATGCAGACCACCACTTAATTCTTGCTGCTGGCTGGTGAGCCACACCCTTAGGCAAGATAAGAAATTATGTCTCAAAAGCCCCACAAGCTTAACTAGAGTAGGATGCTGATAAACCTCAGAATTGTCCTTCAAGTACCTCATCAGGTACAGAGCAGGCACAGTAAAACTCAACTTGACTGAACAAGTGACCTTCCACTAGAGGCAATCAAGAACAGGAATCCCTTGCTGGGACTCGAACCAGGGTCCAGAGACATCACCCATGTGTAACATCCAGGAATAAGTTATGGCAACACCCCAGCAGCCTTTGCGCCAGGTTCCATCTTTGTTCCAACAGCCTTTGCAGTGGAATCCATCTTGGCTACCTCCTGCATACACACCTGATTTTCATAACTCTACCTTTTCCCGGAAATGCCCGTCTTTTCACCTAAAACCCTTTATAAACCCTACTTTGTTCGATGAGAGACTGGAGGCTAGCTAGCATAGGCACAAGCCCCTCTTTGTCTCTCCCTCACACGTCCTTTTCCCTCCCTTCTCTCTTTAATAAACTTTGGTTTGTGTGGACAGTTTGCCTCTCCTGTTCAATTCTTTGTCAGTAGAAGGCAAGGATCTCTGCTCTGGGTAACAAGGACCCCAGCAACAGGACCACAGCAGAAACCACTTGAGGACTTTGGCATCGAGGGATGGGTGCTCACTCTACTGGGAAGGTCTAGTCTTTGCTGACACCTGGGAGCAGGCAGGAACTGGAACTAGAGTACAGCAGAGAAAGCCCTAGAGGAGGAGTCAGGGGGAAGGTCCTTTCTGCCCCACTGTGCTATCATTCTATTCTTGCCCAGGCAAAAGTATTCCTCTCTCTGGGCCTTAACTTTCCCTTCTTTACCATGAAGGTAGGAGCTTTGGTAGCATAGTGCCTAAGGCACTTGACTGCTAACCAGAAGGCTGGTGGTTCAAAATCCACCAGCCACTCCTTGGAAGAAAGGTTGGGCAATCTACTTCCATAGTGATACTGCCTTGGAAACCCAAGGAGGGGTAGCTATGAGTTGGGTCTAACTTGACGGCATATAACAACAACAACAACAGCACCATGAAGGTTGTTATTTTATAGTATAGAGTGACCTCTGGGATCCTTCCACTTCTAAACTTATATGGCCATATAATGTGAACAAATTTGTAGTCTTAGAGCACCTTAGAAATGGTCACCGAGTCCAATTCAACATAGAAATCCCTCTTACGGCATTCCTAGAGATGGTACACATTTCTGTTAAATAGCTCTAGGCCAGTGGTTCTCAACTAGGGATGATTTTGCCCCCAGGGGGTTATTGCAATGTCTGGACAGTTTTGGTTGTCACAATGGGTGGGAGTGTGTTAGTGGCATCCAGTTGGTAGAGGTAAGGTATACTGCTAAACATTCTGTAATGCACAGGATAGCTCCTCACAACAAAGAACTATCTGCCCAAATGCCAATAGTGCTGACTGAGGTTGAGTCTTGGCAAAGGCGGCTCATTCCATCTTGAGGGAATTCACAGTTCTGGGTGTTTGTGGTTAGGATAAGCTTGATGTTGTTGTTGTTGTTGTTATGTGCCTTCGAGTCAGCCCTGACTCATAGCGACCCCTCCTTGGGTTTCCGAGGCAGTATCACTATGGAAGTAGGATTGCCCAACCTGATAAGCTTGATAGGAAGCTACAATCCCTGTAACTACGGGGTCTTAGATATGCCTACTGGGGAAATCTGGAGGAAAGACCCTATCTCTTCCCCAAGATGGTTATTCAACATCCAGAGACCCCTAGTCAAAGCAATGCAGCCAACAATGATCATCTGTAGAACGAGTATGTATGGGGCCAATGTTAGGGCTGAGGGGTCAGAGCAACAGCCAGGGGACAGAGGAAGAGGGCCAATAACTCCACTACATGCTGGAGATGATATGGAAACTCAGAGAAGAGTAAGTGCATTCAGTTGTGGGTTTTTTTTTTAAAATAAAGGTGGGTAGTGCCTAGGCATTTGACTGCTAACCAGAAGGCTGGCAGTTCAAACCCACCAGCCACTCCTTGGAAGGAAGATTGGGCAATCTACTTCCATAGAGATGTTGTTGTTGTTGTTAAATGCCGTTGAGTCAGACTCAACTCATAGCGACCCCTCCTTGGGTTTCTGAGGCAATATCACTACAGAAGTAGATTGCCCCATCTTCCTTCTGAGAGTGGCTGGTGGGTTTGAACTGCCAGCCTTCTGGTTAGCAGTCAAGTGCCTTAGGCACTATGCTACCAGAGCTCCCACTGCCCTGGAAACCCAAGGAGGGGTCACTGTGAGTCAGAACCAACTCAACAGCAGTGAGTTTTGAGTTGAGTAACTGAATTGGGCCTAGAATAGTAGGATTTCCAAAGGAAAGTATCCTAAGACAAGTGTGTTCTGGGAGGTATGCAAAGAAAGAGCACCAACCCAGAGGCAGAAAGGGCCCTGAATTCATTGGAGGGGCCAGACACTATCCTTGCCATAAGCCCAACCTGGTCCCACTGCTGGCGCCTCCATCCTCATCTCTCACCACTGCACCCTGGCTACAGGGCTTCTCTCAGTCTTACCCATCTCAGAGTCCTGCAGAGTCTGTCCCCCAGCTGGTGCATTCCATCCCTCCTCTCTTTGCCAAGTTAACACCCACTCATCCTTCAGATTCCAGCTTCTGGTCCTTCCATGGAGAGTCTTCCTTGACATTTCCTTCCTACATCTGCTGTGTGCTCTCACAGCTCCACACACCTCTCCTTCATAAAATGTACCATACTTACACTTTGGCAGTTATCTGTGTGATTACTGGCTGCTGTCCATCCCCCAGTAGGACTGTAGGACAATGAGGGCAGGACTATGGGTGGAGTTCACTGTGGGTCCCTGGTTCAGAGCTTGCATATATACAGGCTCAAGAAATAATTGCTGAACGGATGAATAAATGATTAAAAGTTGTTTTTGGCAGCCTAAGTCTTGGCTATGCCCACAGCTAGAGAGGAAGTTTGGACCTCAGTGGCAAGGTTGTAAGTGCTAGGCTAAAGTGTTTATAATGAAACTGGTGGGCAGGGAGGAGCCAAATGAGGTAGTGCCAAGTATACTATGATGCCCTGGGATGATGGACTGGGCAGAAGATGGAGGATGAAGTGGGTAAAGCTTGGAGAGTATTTAGACTGCTGCAAGAATCCTGGGGCAAAAGGGCTGGACCTTGAGTAGCAATGGAGGGAAGTCAGCTTCCTTTTGCTTCTTTGGGTCTGTGGGTGCCCTGTCATTCCTCTTTATGCGTCCTCAGAGTCCCAGGGCAGTTGGGCAGCAGCCTGGTGTGCTGCTCTGGGAGTGGGCAGAAGGGATGGGAGAGGAGACGGGGGGGGGGAGGGTGACCCTGGCATCCCTCTGAGGTTCTGAGACACCCTGGCCTCATGTAGGTCCGCCTCCTATCCTAAGCAGAACCAGAGGAGTCTGCTCACAGCACTGCCAAGGGAGCGAGCCAGCCAAGCAGTGGGTGGGAGGCGCCCAGGGACGGGAGGCAGATTACATGTCACTTTGTATTAGCTACACCGGCAACTTTCCCAGTCCACCCAGAGAGGGGCGAATAATTGCAATTTTGAGGACAAGCCAATAGCAAAGATAACACTGACATGGAAGGAGATTGTAACTCCTTTCCAGTCATGAGCAGATGAGAATGCCTTACCAGGGTCAGCTTTGCTTACCTGTGAGGTACATCTCTTCCCCTTCGGTGAACATCTGGTGGCAGCGTACACATCTGGCACAGGTTGGGTGGTAATGCTTCCCTCCTGCCTATAGAAATAAAAAGATGAGGTAGGAGGTCAGAGCTAGGACTACTGCCCAGTGGACCTGGCTGGGTTTGGACATTTCCTGGGTACATCAGTGTTAGTGGTTTCATGTCACTGAGGTTGGTTGGAAGGCTACCGAGGTGTGTCCAAAAGCATCTAAAAGTGCATTACCCCCTAGTAAGTTTGATAATTCCACATTGTAGGTCCCTGATGGCCATTCAGTGGACTGTCTGGACACCTGTGCTTCTAGTCTGGCAGTAGGAAGGGGCCTGCAGAGGTCATGGTCTCACTTCCTCATTTCTAGATAAGGAAACAGTTTTGCTTTTAAGACATCCCAGTATTTTCCCGAGTGTGGGATCTATATCACTAGTGTTACATGAGGTAATTTTAAGTGGTAGATGGGCATTAAATAACATTGGATGCATTAAAAAAAAAATTATTCCTTTCTCAGCCCTCTTTCAATTCTTGATTTTAGCAAGGAGAATGTTTAGTGCCATTGTGTCATTAACATCAATCTAAAACTTAGCATTGTTGTTGTTGTTATGTACTATCGAGTTGGACCTGACTCATAATAACCCCTCCTTGGGTTTCTGAGGCGGTATCACTACGGAAGTAGATTGCCCAGCCTTCCTTCTGAGGAGTGGCTGGTGGGTTTGAACTGCCAGGCTTCTGGTTAGCAGTCAAATGCCTTAGGCACTATGCCACCAGAGCTCTTATGGATGTATATATATGTTTTTTTATTTAAAAGTGTTATGGCATGATTTATGTCCCCAAAAAGATACATTCAAGTCTTAACCCCCAGGTACTTTCCTGTGAATGTGACCTTATTCGAAATAGCATTTTTATAGATGTAATTAGTTAAATTAACATGAGGTCATATTGGAATAGGGTGGATTCTAATACAATATGACTGGTGTCCTTATAAGCAGTGAAGAAATACACAGAAAGAGACACACACAGAGGGAAGATGGCCGAATGAAGTTGGAGGCAGAGGTTGGAGAATACCTTGGGCTGCCAGAAGCTAGAAGAGGCAAGGAACGATTCTCCCCTAAGGCCTTCAGAGGGAGCATGGCCCTACTAACACCATGAATTCACACTTCTAGCCTCCAAAACTGAGACAATACATTTCTGTTGCCTTAACCAGTTTGTGGTAATTTGTTACAGGAGTACTTCCGTAGTGATACCGCCTCGGAAACCCAAGGAGGGGTCGCTATGAGTTGGGTCTGACTCGACAGCACATAACAACAACAGAAAACTTACATAGTAAGTGAGCCAAAATAAAGACAATTTAAAGTATTAGGTAAGAATGAATACACAAGGCTCAGAGACATGGCAGAAATTGTGAGAGTGGGACATGAAGGGCAGATTTTTAAGATTCAGTGGACAAATACCTGGTCAGAGGCAAAGCCAGGACCCATTTGGAACTTGTGATCCCAGCCCCAATGATGCTGTATCTGGGTGCTTCACACCCCTACCCTGCCTCATCCCAGTCTGACTTTGGTTGAGGGCCCCTTCCCTATACCCACTTTCTGTCATCATCATGATTTAAATTTCAAATGGAAGTTATTTGCAGTTGTAAATCCTTCCATGGGGTGGAAGAAATAGGCCTAGGGAAGGTTGTGCCTTGCCCTGGGTCACCAGGGAAGCCAGTAGTAGCATTGGGTCTGGAACTGTGAGGGAACAGCAAGGAGTCATCTAGCCCGGCACTCATTTCCATGCTGATAATTTTGGTAAAATTACCAGGGAGCTCCAGAGGTGTAGTGTCTAAGGCATTTGACTGCTAACCAGAAGGCTGGTGGTTCAAACCTACCAGCCACTCCTTGGAAGGAAGACTGAGCAATCTACTTCCACAGAGATATGGCCTCGGAAACCCAAGGAGGGGTCACTATAAGTCAGGATTGCCTTGACGGCAGTGGGATTTTTTTTTTTTTTTTAAATTTTGGTAAATTCTGACAGTCAAGGCCCAGCCATGAGGGCTTGATGCATAGAAGTCCTTTAGTGTGGCTCTAGAATTTCTATATGGGAGGAGGGTAGATAGCAGAGCTTGTTTTGAAGATATATTTTGAATATTAGAACAGAATTGTTTTTTCTTTTTTTGGCTGAGGGGAGGGTAGACCTGAGGAAAATTGATGAAAATTGGAGTATTGTTAAAGGATAATTTGGTCTGGTGCTAATGGGTCCCTTCCAATGAAAAAAATCACTAACTGCATAATAAAGTCTAGTTCCAAATACATTTTTAAAAGGGGTGGTGAGGTAGATACGGACTTGCTTATTCTGGAGTTGGAGATACTCAATTTATTCCAAAAAAATTACCAAGATTATTGGAGGAACAGATTTTTACAAAAGGGGGGAAAAAATCTCCAATACCCCCTCTCTTTCTGCTTGGGTTGTTTATATGGATTCCACCAATAGGCAAATGTTCTTGTCATCATCACACTAACTATGTTCAAACTTTGGAAGGAGCCTGCTATTTTCCTAAGCTGGGATGTCGTGGGACTGATTCTCTTGTACCATGACAAGGATAATCGGTTTAATTAGTAGCCTCTTCCTACTTTGTGTCTCTTTATCATCTCAATTATAGACCTGTTTTCCAGGGTGGCAACAGTGCTGTGGCAAACTGAAGCTTGGCTTCTTCCTAAATGTCACACTCCACCATCCCACTCCAACGAAAAGAAGCTTCATGCCCTTCTCAACGACCCTGGCCAGGGATGGTGCTGGCAACAATTTGAGAGAAGGAAGGCTGTGAGAACAGCCTGCCTCCAGCATCAGGAAAAAACAAGTCAATGAGATAAAATGAAACATTTTATCTGTTTCTAACTGAAGTTAAGAAAATAGTGAAGAAAATGGCAGGATTAGTGCCTAGAAAATGGGTTCATACTGGAGAGGTCAGAGAAAGCAAACAAGACTAGGAAATGCAGACAAGGTAACTAGTTTTGTGATTCTCCTTGGTGAGGCCACAGACAGGGAAGAGAGGGTATGAATAACACTCAGCATATTGAGAGGGTATGAATAATACTCAGGAAGGCATTGTGGGATGGCCTAGATAACCAAAGGGAAAGGGAAGTGAAAAAAGTGGGATGAGAGAGGAAGGGAAAATAGAAATTGATTGTCTATTGTGTACCAAGCAAGGTTCCTGGGTGGTGCAAATGGTTTGCGCTTGTACTACCAACTGAAAGGTTGGCAGTGTGAATCCACCCAGAGGTGCTGAGGAAGAAGGGCCTGGTGATCTACTGTCATAAGATTGAAAAACCAAAAAAAAAAAAAAAAACTCACTGCCATTGAGTTGGATCCAACTCATAGCGGCCCCTCCCTGGCTCTCCGAGGCGGTATCACTATGGAAGTAGATTGCCCGATCTTCCTTTGGAGGAGAGCTGGTGGGTTTGAACCACCAGCCTTCTGGTTAGCAGTCAAATGCCTTAGGCGCTATGCCACAGTCAACAAAAACCCTATGGAACACAGCTCTATTCTGAAATATTTAGTGTCTCCATGAGTTGGAATTGACTTGATGACAATAGAGGTTTTTTTTATGTACCAAGCATTGTGTTGGGCCCTGTGGTGGGCAATCATTGTTTTTGCCTGATCTACATCCTTTTCCCCTTTTTCCAGGAATATTGCCAAGCTTTTCCTTGGTGGAACTATCTGTCCTCCACAGCAAGTCATGTGGTTAAGTATGGCTGACCCATCAGTAAGCATAGTCCAACTCTATGGCCACAACCTTTGGTTGCGGGTAGTCCTGAGGTTGTCCAATGATAGTCCCAGCATGTTTGCTGAGCTATTAGAAAAGAGCAGCTCCCTTTCCACTGGGGATGCTGGCTAATAGGATGTAAGTCTGGAGTGACTGGTGGCCAACTTCTCCATCACAAAGGAGAGGCTGGCTGAGAATAAAGTCAACACAGAAGAAAATGGAGCCAAGATGGCAACAGAGTCCAAATGATTTTGTTTGAGCACTGGATGCAGCTGTGTCTGAAGCCAGAACAACTTCTGGGCTTTTTCTTATTGGAATTGATACATTTCCATTTTGGCTTGAGCCACATTGAGTGTTATTTCTGTACCTGCAACCAAAAAAGTCCTGACATATCCATTAGGAGTTACAAAACAGTGGCATTCTTCACTAATAGATAAAGACTCCGAGACTCAGAGAAAGTAACTTGCTTAAGGTGTCATAGCTAAAAGTGGTACAATTTGAATCCAAGTCTTTTTCACTCCAACCCATGTTTCTGTCATAATATCATGCTACCTCAAAAGACCCCTGAGTGGCTGGAGCTGTGGGCATATAAGGATATAAAAGTGAGCTCTGGGTCGGGAGCCTGGAATCCTAGATTTTAGCTGTTTCTACCAGAGATACTGTGTGTGACCTTGGAAAAGCACCACCTGCTTTGAGTCTCACTTTTCTCATCTGTAAAATGAGGAAGTTGAAGTAAGTCCAGGATACTAATGGACAAATAGAATAAATTGAACCCAGTCACAACAGCTGCTCAAGAGGAAGAGGCTACCACAATGCTAAACAACAGTATCACGTAGGGGAAATGCCACCACCGCCCACGCACTTTCAAAGCTTGGAAGTGCTGGGACAAATTCCTGTCTGCAGCCCTGTGTGTAATCGAAGTTTTCTCCTTCTTGAAGGAAAAGTCTGTTTTTATGATTTCCAATCCCACTGACCCTTTGTTGTTGTTGTTGTTATTTGCCATCGAGTCAGCCCCGACTCATAGAGACCTCTCCTTGGGTTTCCGAGGCAGTATCACTACGGAAGTAGGAATGCCCAACCTTCCTTCCGAGTGGCTGGTGGGTTTGAACCACCAGCCTTCTGGTTAGCAGTCAAGTGCCTTAGGCACTATGCTGCCAGAGCTTTACTGACCCTTTACTCACTGCAATCTGGATGCTTCTCTTCACAATTTTGCAAAGACCCAACAAACTGTTCTTTTGAAGGTGAACTTTCATCACAGTCAATAGCTTTTTCTCAGCTGACATAATCCTTAACTGTTCTGCAGAATTTGACCAGCACTCTAACTGATCTTGCCATCCTTTCTCTGTCTTTCACTGCCCCCTTACCCCTGGGTTCTCCTCCCACTCCTGATTGCTTGTCTTTTTTTCTCTAAGTCCTCAGTTTCTTTCTGCCACCTGTAAGCACCACTCTCCAAGGCTGGCTTGAGTCCCACACTTCCCCCCTTGGAAATCCTGACAACCCCCCCGTGGTGGTGACTATTATTCAAATCCAAGTGCTTTTGAAATTGGCCTCTCCAGGCTTTAGCTTTGTCATTGAGCTCTGACCCACATTTCTCACTGCCTTCTTGAAACCTCCTTGAGAGTTTCAATCACAGCCCATTCCAAATGGCACTTATTAGTTTCTGCCCAGACTATGACTTGGAACCCCCAATTATGGGGATGACAACACCATACTTCCTATCTCCCAGCCTTGACACTTGGATGCAACCTTTGACCTCTTCTCTCTCAATTCCAGGTCTACAAGTTATCCCAGTGCAAGTTGCAAAGCTATAGAAATTCTACTTCCAAAATGTTGGAGTCAACGCTCATTTCTCTTCTCATTCCTACCACACATCCTCAGTCCTTCCTTCCTGGATGATGTGGTGCCTCCTTTCTGGTCTCCCACTTCCAGTTTCTTCCTTCAAACTTAGCCTGTGCACATCATGACATTATATGCCCTCAGGTGCAGCTCTGATCAGGTCACACTCCTGTTATCTAGTGAATTACAGACCAACTCCTCACTCTGGTATTCCAGGTCTTTGGAAGCCTGGGCCCAAACACCTTTCCTGTGCTCTTGTTTCAGGTTTCATCCTCCATGTTGCACTCCTTACTGCTCCCAAGTTATGCTTCATCCTCTGTTGACTCTGTGTATTTGTTCATCTTATTCTCTCTTACTTCCTGTAGTCAACTTTCCACAGAACAGTCAGAGCAATCTTTTAAAAAACATAATCTTAACATCTCCTCCCTGGTTTAAAACTCTCCAATCATTCTCCATAGTACTTAGTATAGAGACCAAACTCATAAATATAGTCTACAAAGTCCTATATGATATACTCCACCTTCTCACACCCTAATTTATATAATTCAACCACACTGTTGAATTCAACTCTGTTCCCTGAATGGGTCAGGCTCATTCTTCCCACAGCCCTCCACACGGCAGCTCCCTTCTCATCCTTCAGGGCTCAGCTTTGATGCCAGTTCCCCAAGGAGTGCTTTTCTGACTCCTACTATCTCCTGCTGAGCCCAGATGTGACCATGGATACCTTTTCAACATGGACACCTTCTCTAGGTAACCACTACTGACTGGCCAGATTTGGCAGATTGAATGACTCATCTCACAATAGCTGTCACAGTCAGCTATTCCATAGACATTATCAGATGGGAAAACTGAGGCCTAAAGAGGCAAAAATACTCACCCAAATTCTCTGTGTGAGTTGTCAGTGAGTCAATATTAGAACTCAGTTGCCCCTATTATTATTTTTCCTTTGTACTAAACTCTTTCCTGCTCCTAATTCCTCAAGGTAGGTGATTCTGAAGGAAGTGGACTTCCTGTACCTATAGGGTATGAGAAAGAAGGCCAGGAAGGCTGGGGGACAGGAGGCTCAGGCAGGGTCTCAGCAAGGGTGTTGCAGTTGTCTGTCACAGCAGAATGAGCTGTGCATCTGAGGCTGAAGAGAGCTGTTGTCATGGTGACAGACCAACCAAGGAAGGGCTTAGGAGCAAGCTGCTAGACAAACTGGTTCTTAAATCAACACATTACAAACTGCTTAAAAAATAAAAAATAATTGTGACCCCCAGAAATGTATCTGGGTCCTAGTCCAGAGAAGCAACAAATTTTGACAGCACAGCAGTTTTTGAACTAGGAATAATTTTGTCCACCTTCTCATTTTGGGGGTGTCCACAGAGATGAGGCTCCCTGCTCAAGGTCATGCAGCAAGCTGAGTTGGGGCAGAGGAAGTAGGGGAAGTAGAGGTTATGGAAGAAAGGATGTGGGGTGGCTTTCTCCATCCTCAATGGCAACTTCGCTCAAACACTCACCTCCAAGACCCTGCCGCTGATGTACCGGTCACAAGTCTCGCATTTAATGCCAAACTGGGAGTGGTAGTCGGACTCACAGTACGGAACGCCATCCCTGCAAGAGGAAATCCACACAGGAAGAGGAAGTTTGCAGGGGCCAGAGGGGATGTCATGTGGTGGTTTCAGGACTTGCAGCCAGCAGAGACTGGGCCATTAGAAGCACTTGAGAGAACGTTAAAAATGCAAACTCCCCAGATACACCTCAGAGCTACTGATCAGAGAATCCCTGGGAATGAGGCCTGGGAATCTGCATCTTGGCCAGCCCCCTGAGCAAGTATGGGACCACTGGTCTGGATTGCTGGCCTGGGGTGTCCTCTGTCCACTCTCCTTCCTCTCCTCCCCACAACTTCCCCAGACCCACTCTCTCCCCTTTATCCTATAAGAGCTCTTTTACATTCTTTTCTTTCTTTTTCTTTTCTTTAACTTTGTAATAGGTAAGGCTTATATAGGGCTCAACATTTTATAGGCATAAAGAGGAAAAGCCTCTGCTTTCCTGTCTCACCCAGTTTCTTTTCCAGGAGGTAATCAATGAGATCATTTTTTTTTTTTTTTTCTTTCCTTAAGGGCTTCTCTTTGAATGAACATTTTCACCTCTATTCAAAGACCCATCTGATTGTGCTTCCAGATCAGTAGATAACAAGATGTCACCCTTGACCCCCTTCTATGTGCTTCATTTTCATCCTGTGCTTTGTAACTCATCAATCATATAGTGACAAGATTGTCATCAATAACTGTTTTCATGCTATCTCTATTACTAGCTTCTCGGTGGTGCGAATGGTTAATGCACTCAACTGCTAAACAAAAGGTTGGAGGTTTGAATCCACCCAGATGTGCCTTAGAAGAAAGGCTTGGCACTCTACTCCTCACAAATCAGCTACTGAAAACCCTATGGAGCACAGTTATGCTGTGATACACATGGGGTTACCATGAGTCAGAATGGACTGCACGGCAACTGGTTTGGTTCTTTTTTGTTTGTTTGTTACTCTTATGACTAATAGCTGCTATTATTTATTATTTGCTGTCTCCCAGGCTCTCTGATAGTGTTTTGTATAGATGTTTCATTTAATTTTATGGCAGCCCTATGAGGTTGGAATTATTTTCATCTCCATTGTGTAGATGGAAAAACCCAAGCTTAGAGCAATTGAGTAACTTTCTCCATGTCACCTAACTAGTAAACCTCAGAGCTGGGATTCAAACTCAGGTGGTATGGTTTCTCATCCACATTATTGTGAAAGTTAGAGGAGATGGACCAGTATATCCTCAGGCTCAACACAGTGCGGGCCTGTACTCAGTACTTAGTACACAGCAGCAACAGACTCCCCACGTCTCTAGGAGTCTTCAAGGAGGTGATCTGGTGCTCAGCTCTTTGGGGTCAATGTGGACAGGGTTGGGGCACTCCAAGAGTACAGCTTCAGGCCCCATCTCACTCTAAGAATTAGGCCTGAACTCTGAGGAGAGAGGGGTATTTTCCCCACTTTGGGTGTAACAAAACTTGGCTCAGATACAGAGAGGCCTAACTGATAGGGATGGCATTTTCCAACTCATCATTTTGCCATGTTGGGATGGCTGGGAGCCCATGCTAGGCAGCAGGGCACTGTGCTCCTAGAGGAGAAACAGTAATGCACAGAGATGCCCAGCAAAGATCTGGGGAAAAGATGGCACCCACAAGGCAAGGAATTAATCGTGAACCCAGGAGAACTCCCTACCCCACATCTGAGTCCTCAATCTGTGGGATGGGAAGGTAACTCTGCAGTGTGAAGAAGTCATTGTCAAGAAGTGGGTAAAATGAGCCAGCAAAATTTGGGTGTAAATGTCCACACAAATTCATTTGAATCCATGGGCTGCTGAGCCCTCAGGAAATTCGGAATACACATGAATGTAAAAAGTTGCAGATGATACAATTAATATTTACTGGGCACTTGTTAAGTCTGATGCACAGATCTCTTAGTCTTTGCATGACCCTAGTGGTAGGTCTTCTACAAATGGTAGAAAGACCTGCAAATAGTAGGTCTTTCCTACAAATGAGGAAGTTGAGGCTCAGAGAGGTTGAGCCCCTTGCCCAGGCCACAAAGACTGGGTTAAAACCAGAGCATCTGAGTCTGGCACCTGTGCCTCTATAAGCACATGCTCCTTGCTGGTGGAAGGATGAGGAAGGAGATGTATGTCATGTTCTGTTACTCTCCATATCTCTTTCTCTCCCCTTGCCCCTCTTTTTTCCCTCTAGGTCCCACTTGACTGCCCAGGGCAGAGGGAGGCCTGTGAGAGCAGCATGAAGCTTGGGACCTTGTCTGAATGCCCATAGATGAAGAGCAAAGGGGCAAAGGGAGGTAGGGACTGGGTGGGAAAGCCTTGGGCTAGCGGGCAGGTGGGCTCTGGTAGTGAGAATCACTCAAATCACTGACTTGGGGCCCAGGCCCGCCACCTCCCATATCTTTCTCCAAGAAGGTCAGAGCTGGGCTGCAGAAGCCCAAGGTGTGGTGAACAATCTGGGCTGGGCCTCCTTGAGCAAACTCTTACTCCCTGTGGTAGTTCAGTTTGTATGTCAACTTGGTTGGGCCTGGTTGAGTGGCTGGGCAGCTGGATGTAGTTTTCCCCATGATGAGACTGGCAATCAACTCCATGGCAGAATCTACTGTGAGCAGTTGAGTAGCTGCCTTTGGGTATGTGGTCTGCTTCCCATACATAAGCAGCAGCTTTGGGAATGGTCTTGAGCTTATGGCACACTTGGACCCTGCGTGTAGCCGTGTTGTTACTCAGCAGCCTGCTATGCTCTGCTGACCTTGGGACTTATAATGGACTTGAATTAATGGCCTGCTGTGTGGTTTGGTAACATTGGGACTGTGCCTTTTTACTTGTCAACCTTGGGCTTGTTAGCCTCAGCAGCCAGCAGCTGTCTGAGTGAAGAAAAGCCTCTAGCTCCAGTGGGCCGGGAGCAGGAGGTAGAGCTGAAGCCCAAGGCTGAGGGGCTTTCACCCAGCCCCTAGAGCTTGGCACTTTGAACTTAACCAATGTAAAGCCTCCAAACTGTAAGAATAAACTCCTGTTTGTTAAAGCCATCCCATTTGTGGTATATTCTTGTTGGAGCGGAACTAGGTAACCCATATACTCCCTAAGAGGTTCTGACTTGGGCTCACAGACTCAAGGACTCCTGGCTGGAGTCTCATGAAGAGCACTACTTACTTGGCAGGCAGAGAGGGAATGCCAAACTCCCACTAGCATGGCATTCCAAACTTTTGGTGATCTGACCTCAGCTCACCTCTGCAGCCCCAGATGCTGCTCCATCTGGGCACATACCTCAGCTCCAGCAAGCAGGACAATATGTCCAGCACTCGCTCCCCTCCCCGCCTTGCCCAGCATGTGTACATTCTGCTAGAAGCTTTCCTTCTTTGCATTCTCAAATCTCTTTCCAGGTCAAATACTACCTCCTTCCATGAAGCTCTCACAGATTCCACATTCCACTTCCTGCTAGTTAGGTCCCTAGTTGAGATTTGACCCCACCCAATGGTACACCAAAAGAAAGGCCTGGTGATCTTCATTGGTTAAGATTATGGCCAAGAAAACCACATGGAGCAGCTCTACTCTGTAACATGTGGGGTCACCATAGTCAGAATTGAATCGATGGCAACAAGTTTGAAGTTTTTGGTTTTCACATGTACCTTTGACATAGACAAATGTGCTTGGCCAGCATCCATTTCCTCTTCTGCTGGTCACAGTAGCTCACCTGGATTTTCATTTGGGGAAGCCACCCCTCCCTCACTTGCATTTCTGTGGTTCACAAAAGGCAGCTACCTCTCTGGCTCTAAAGGTTCAGACCCTCCTGGCCAGTGACTGGGCATGGGACCTAAGGGTTTTGTCAAATCAGAGGCAGTGTTGGGACTTTTGTTGGAGCTCTTGGGGAAGAGCCTCTTCCTCTGCTAGACTTGCTAAATGGTAGAATGAAAGCCTGGAGTTGCTGGTGGTCATCTTCCCTACCACCTGAGGAGAGCCTGCTTGAGAATGGATCCAACCCAGGAGAAAGCAGAACTAAGTGATAGAGAAAGAGAGAAACAGAATTCTGAAATGCTGAAAACAACCTTAAGCCCCTAGATTCAGTTATGTCTGAAGCCAGTATACCTTGGGACTCCCCATTTTTATGAGCTAATAAGCTCTCATTTTTGCTTTTAAGTGATTTTGAATTGGATTTTTATGTCACCTATGATCCAAAAAGAAGTTGTGGTGATATAGTGGTCTAGGCATTTGGCTGTCAACCAAAAGGTGGGTGGTTCAAACCCACTTGCTGCTCTCTGGAAGAAAGATGAGATAGTCTGTTCTATAAAGATTTATAGCCTTGGAAACCCACTGAGGGTTGCTATGAGTCAGAATCAACTTGATGGCAGTGAGTTTGGTTTTGTTTGGTATGATCAAAAGGTCTTAAAGAATAAAATTTCTCTTGAGCTCTGGTGGCACAGTGGTTAAAGCAGTGGACTATTACTAACCAAAAGGTTGGCAATTCTAACTCACCAGCCACTTTGCAGGAGAAAGATGAGGCACTTTGTTTCCATAAAGATTTACAGCCTTTGAAACCCTATGTGGCAGTTCTACTCTGTCATTTAGGGTCACTCTATGTCAGAATGGGAGCTCTGGTAGGGTAGTGCCTAAGGCACTTGACTGCTAACCAGAAGGCTGGCGGTTCAAACCCACCAGCCACTCCTCGGAAGGAAGATGGGGCAATCTACTTCCGTAGTGATACTGCCTCGGAAACCCAAAGAGGGGTCGCTATGAGTCGGGTCCGACTCGAAGGCACATAACAACAACAACAACATATGTTAGAATTGATTCAATGGCAGTGGATTTGTTCAGTTTAGTTTGGGACTCCCTATCACATATCATCTTGTGTCATAATTCTTCAGATACAGAGCTTAGCTCCCTTTTTAGACTGTAAGTTTCTTGATAACAGAGACCATGTACGATGCAAATTTCCATGCTTGCTATCTTTTACTATTGGGTCAGAGAGTGGTATCTAGGAACTACATGGGGTCATAAAGTTTCAAAGCTGTGGGGTCTGTGGTTATAATTTATTTTAAGTACTTGTGTATGTAAATGTGGTCATGAGGGGGACTGGTCCAGTGCTACAGTGTGCAGGTCACTCAGGGTTGGTCCCTCTTTACTGATAGCTTTCTGTGTAAACCATCTCCTTTCATTCAAATATATGTATATATAGTCAACAACTGTATTATTGGCCATTGGTCAGGTATGGTGTTAAGGACAGGGGCTAAAACAATGAATAAAACAAAGTCCTTGTCTTTGTAAAGACATACCTTAAACATTATTAGTGGAGCAAGTTACTTACCATTCCCTCCAAACCTTGGTTTCTGTAGCTTTAAAATGGGAACAAATACCTCACTGGGTAGTTAAAAACAAAGCCAAAGCAAACTCACTGCCATTGAGTCAGTGCTGACTCATAGTGACCCTATAGGACAGAGTAGAACTGCCCTATAGGGTTTCTAACAAACAAACAAACAAAAAAACCCAAACTCACTGCCATAGAGTCAATTCCAACTCATAGCGACCCTGTTTGGGTTTCTGAGGCAGTAAATCTTCATGAAAGTAGATTGCCCAGCCTTTCTTCCATAGAGTGGGTGGTGGGTTTGAACTGCCTACCTTCTGGTTAGCAGTCAAATGCCTTAGCCACTATGCCACCAGAGCTATAGGGTTTATATGGCTTAAATCTTTACTGAAGCACACTGCCTATCTTTCTCCATTGGTTAGCAGCCCAATGTTGTAGCCACTGAGCCGCCAGAGTTACTCTGGCATAACTGGGCAGTTATGGGAGTTTAATGTGACAATTCACGCAAAGCAGCTAGTAAGTTTCTTGAGCATGATAAAAGCTGGTAGTTAGTATTATTATCATCACTAGAAATTTAACGTGGATAAATATATGATTGAGGAGCTCTGGTGGTACAATGCCTAAGGCATTTGACTGCTAACCAGAAGGCTGGTGGTTCAAACCCACCAGCCACTCCTCAGAAGGAAGATTAGCAATCTACTTCCATAGAGATACTGCTTCAGAAACCCAAGGAGGGCTCACTATGAGTGGAATCAACTCGATGGTGGTGAGTTTGGTTTAAATGTATGATTATGAATGGTGATGGCTATATCAAAGGGCACTGTGAAGGGCAATAAAGGGGGGACTGGAGGTGGCAAGAGATGGTGTGAGGGCTCTCAGAGGAGACCACATAGTAGCTGAGACTAGCAGGAAGGGAGGGAACAACTCTGTGGAGAACAGGGAATAGCATTTCAGGCGGAGGAAACACAATGGTGGGCATCTGGGTTAGGGGAAAGATGTCGTTGTGGCCCAATGTGTTGACCAGATTGAAAATGAAGGAAGATGAAGCTGGAGCTTCAGGAGGGGGTGATGGGGTGGAGACCCACTTGCTAATGTACTCCCCGGTGAGGATGACGCTGCAGGTTTGGCATTTGAAGCAGCTGACGTGCCACTGCTTGTCTAGCGCCAGGAGCGACTGGCCATGCTTGATCTCCTCCTTGCACCCAGCACAATCTGCAAAGACAAGAGGACTCTGCTGAGCAAGAAGACATCCTGGACCCTTGGCCCACTGCTCATTATCTTGTGGCCAAGTCAAGGAAACCCTACTGCTGAACACCAGTCCTTCCACAACTGCTCTCACCTGACACTGGTACTTGCCCAGGCACTCTGCCAGGTGAGAGATAGAGACCCTGACCTCTTGAAAAATACCTCAGTGTGAGTGAGGGAGAGCCCCCCTTCCTCAGAGTTCCTACAGACAGCTCCCTGCCCATCTTACTAACCACTGTTCATCTACAGAGGACCCACCCCACCCTGCCTCGCTTGGTCCTCAAGCTGTTACCTGCACTCATGCTGCTCTGTGTTCTTGAATCTCAGAATCACCTCAGGCACTGTCACAAGCCCCACCCCAGACCTACTGAATTTTAACTACATCTCCAGGTAATTCATAAACAAATAAAGTTTGAGAAACACTGCTGAGGGGGCAGGATAAGTATGTATTTTTCTTGCTCTTAGGCTGTATGTTCAGTGGCCAGGGCTGTGTCTGTGGTTTGTGGCTAAATCTATTCCATTGCCTAGCACAGTGCTTGGCATACAGTAGGAACTCAATGCCTGTTTGGTAAGTATGAGTGAATGGGACTTATAGCAGCCAAGCAAAGTGTAGAATTTACCATGCCCATCCCACCCTCCAGCATGTTTACATACCAAACATCTGCCTCCCAAGTAGCATGGATTAAAGAGACTGTCCTAAGCCAGAAAGGCATCCTCACTCTTTCTCTGTCACCCTGGAACATGCATTGAGCCAAAAGAAAGTGGGGTGGGTTGAGTGTTCTGCTTGTTGCTCAATGAATGTCTGGGGAGGGCCAGGAAACAGAGCCAGAGTCCAAGGTACTTGGGAAATGCTGGGAACTCAGGCCTAGCTGACCGGATGGCCCACTTTGGAGAAGAAAGGGGTCATGGGCCAAAGTTTACCAGAGGACAAACCTCCTCTGTGGCACCAGAAGATGAACATGCACTTCAGGATAGTGAGGAGAAAAGATACTGAACACAAAGTTGGGAGAGCCTGGCTGGGCAGCTGTCATGTTCAGCTGGGAGTTCGTCCTGGAGAGATGCATGCATCTGTGTGTCTAGGGAAGGCAGGGTGTCCAGCAGCCTGTGGGAGGCCCTGGGCCCTGATGAAGTGTTTGTGTGCATCAGCTGCCACAGTTACCCTGCCTCAGACTGCTTAGCACATTCCTAATATCCCTTCACCCAAGTCGAGGGCAGAAAGCTCTCTGCTTGCAAAATGCTTCAAGTCCTAAGCCTTCAGTTGGGGGCTGAGAGAATAAAAATTGGGGAGTTCATCTCTTTCCTTTTCTTCTTTCTGCTGGGATAAATACTGCTCTCCATGCCCACACCCCCCCAGTAATGATAGGCTTCAGAGTGTAATAATTTAGTTAGGTCAAGTCAGGCTACCCCCTCTTTTTCTACAGACAGACAGGCATCTGAAAGGCCTTGCCCCAGCTCATGAAGAAGTCAAGGGCTGCAGGTGCCTGGTCAAGCTTTCTAGGCCACAAAGTGGGGAACATACATCTCTTCAGGCCTCCCTGGAGAGCTTCTAATTCCATAGGAGTCAGAGGTCTTGGAACATTTGGTCAGACCTCCTATCTCATGCAGGAATTGACAGCATTCTTGACAGGTGGGCACCATCCTCTGCTTAATTGTAATTCTCTGCTTAAAGAGTGTGGCCCTTCTTGAGGAAGTCTATCTGCCTTTGGACAGGCATGGTTATTAAGGATATTTTCTTCTTATGGAGTTGACATCTGATTCCTTGCAATTTCCCCTTATTTTTATATAACTAAAATAATCAGTTTCTTCAAATATTTAGACAACTACAATTTCTCCCTTCTTCATTCCTTGGACTTTGCTTTTCTTTGATTGATATGGTCATTCAGTTGTGAATTTCAAGGATACAGACATGATATTGGCTAATAACACGATTTTACCCTTTCAATAAAACTTATTTAAATAAGCTGTATTGGTTCTTGGCCACATTTCAGTAATGAGTCCCATTCCTTTACGTTTCAGTGATACATCTAAGATAATTTAGCATGTTGTGAGAGGAGCTCTAGTGGCATAGTGCCTAAGGTATTTGACTGCTGACCAGAAGGCTGGTAGTTCAAACTCACCAGCCACTCCTTGGAAGGAAGATTGGGCAATCTACTTCCATAGAGATATTGCCTCGGAAACCCAAGGAGGGGTCTCTATGAGTCGAATTGACTTGACAGCAATAAGTTTTGGGGTTTTTTTGGTTCAATTTAGGAGACAGTACAGTATAGTGGTTATGAGGTTGGGCTGAGGTCAGGCTGCCTAGTGGAGAACCCCAGCTCCCGCACTTGTTGGTTACGTACACTCTAGCCCCAGCTTCCTCACTTATATGGTGGGGATAGTTATTAATATTTTGTTAAATGCTGGTGTGAAGAGTAATTGAAATCATGCCTGTAAGGACTTAGTACAGTATTTGGTGTGTATGTACTCAATAAGTGGTAAACCAAAACCAACCGAACTCACTGCTGTCAAATCAGATCTGACTCATAGTGACCCTTCCTTGGGTTTCCGAGGCAGTATCACTATGGAAGTAGATTGCCCAACCTTCCTTCGGAGGAGTGGCTGGTGAGTTTGAACCTCCAGCCTTCTGGTTAGCAGTCAAATGCCTTAGGCACTATGCCAAGTGGTGGTTGTTTATTACTTTTTGTTTTTTCCTGCCAATTTTCTGTGCATTATCCATACTCTGATAAGAAATCAGAAGCAATATTCCTATTGTAGGGCAGCCCTGCTGATTCCTCACGAGAATTCTGAGACATTTTCTTCATATGGTTTTTCTTTTCATGTGGTACTGGTGGTCCTCCTTTGTACTGGCTTCATATTTATCAGGACATTTCTGTCTCCCTTCTTCCTCTTTTCATTCCTGACCACCAGTGAAGCCTCAGGCACCCCATCCCAGAGTCCTTAGTTCCGGTGCAGTAAGCAGGGTCAGGAAAAGCACATCCTGTTCTGGGTTGATCTCTGCATAACCAGCTGTCCACTCCTCCCATGGTCCACTGTATTCCAAAATTACAACCTTCAGCTGGTAGAAAGTATGACACCACCACCTGTTCCTCCCAAATCCTTCAGTTTATTGCTGAGGTCTCTAAAGACCCCAGCTCTCTCATTTTTAGTTTCCTTGACTGCATCATTCATTCCACTTAGATCAACAACAATGAGTACAAGCTGGTGGGATTTGTGAGTCATAGCAAACTAATCTCAGAAGATAGGAATGCTCCCAATTAGTCAGTCATGTCTCTAGTATAGATTGTTAAAAGAACAGGCTTCAGAGTCAGACTGCCTGGGCTCAAATCCCAGTTGTACCACTTTATTTCCTGTGTGACTTTGGGCAAGTCATTTATGTCTTTGAGCCTCAGTTTTCTCCTCTATAAAATACATATAAGAGTAACCTCCCTCTTGTTAAAACTGTTAAATTTGTTAAAATGAGTAAATGAGATATTATGCATAGAACACTTAGTGCAACACCTGGCAACAGTAATTATTGTTGTTGCTATGTGCCATTGAGTCGGCCCCCAACTCATAATGACCCCTCCTTGGGTTTCTGAGGCAGTATCACTATGGAAGTAGATTGCCCAACCTTCCTTCCGAGGAGTGGCTGGTGGGTTTGAACTGCCAGACTTCTGGTTAGCAGTCAAGTGCCTTAGGCACTACGCTACCAGAGCTCCTGGCAACAGTAATAGCCAATCAATTTTAGCAGTGGGGATGATGAGGATGATACTGATGATGATGATCTAAGGGTGATAGTGGTGGTGGTGGTTCTGATGATGATATGATGATGACATGATGGATGATGGTGGTAATGGTGGTTATGATGATGATGATATAATGATGGTAATAGTGATGATGCTACTGATTCTTCTCAGTGAGGTCCATAAGGAAATCTTTCTTCCTCCTGTGGTAACAGTATTCTTTTCTCTTGACAGTTCCTGGGGATCCTTCTTGATTTCTGTTATATGGATACTGCTCCTGCTTTTCTAGAATGTCTTTATTTACTCTCCAGGGATGAACTTCACACTCCCATAGCTTAAAGAAATGCATTTTTTTTTTTTTCCTTCTATTCCTTTTCCATGATGTGTTTTTCTTTTCAGCAGTCTTTCGTATCTGGTTTTGGTTCCCGGCAACCTTTGGGAACTCAGAAGACCTTCCAACATCTCTTCTAGCCAGGAGGCTAACTTGCATTTGGAACATAAACAATGATCGCTTCTGGAGAGGAAGCATTTCTATAAAACATATGACCTTTAGATCCACAGATTGATGTTTTCTTTGTGAGTAAGAAGTTAAGCCATAAACCTGTGCCTTCCTCCTAGAAACTGCGTATTTGCAAATTTGCTCCTCTGTGCTCACGTTTCCTCACCTTCCTCTATCTAGTCTCAACCTGCAACACTATGATAGAAACCTTTAGATACCTCTCCTTGAGGACATGCTCACATAAAAGACTCCAGACTCAGCTGAGGGAATTTCCCACCCTTTGGGGACTCTCAATGTATACAGTATCAAGTAACACAACCTGAGAAAAACAACAGATTCAGGAATCTTCTTGGTCCTGTTTTGCTGTGCTTTCTATATTAAATCTCCAAGCCAATAACATCCCCCACTTTATATTTATAGAGCATTTTATACACTAGAACATGTTAGTTTGACTCCTATATGCTAATATATTTGCTTCCTACACCACTCCTATGAAGAAGACAAGAGCAAGGAATCCATCCTTCTTTCACAGCTGGCTAAGCTGAGTCTCAGGCACTGCTTTGTATCATGCAGAAGGCTGGCACCTTCTGATTCCCAGCTTGCCTCTCCCTCTGTCTCCTCCCATGAAGTTCCCACTGGTTTCTGGCTTCTCTGCAGCATCTCAGCATCCCAGCCTTGCTGTGCTTCTGGATGATACTTTCAAGGAGTTAAGAAGAATAATGTTGTGTGCACTCAGCCACCTTAAGATAGAAACCTGGTCAAAGCAGTAAACCATTCTTGAGCTGTACCAAGGACATGGAAGGAAGAGCAGACCTGATTCAACTAAAAGGAAGGGTAAGGGAGGGAGCCTTCCTTACTGACTTTCTCCCTAGTTCATCATGGCTGAACAGACTTTAATGGACCTCCTGGGAGCCTAGCCCTGCTGACTCGGGGTTCTCTGCTCACCCCATTCAGCTGGAGGCAGCCCCAGCACGCTGACTTTGCTGGTGCCATAGCTGACAGCCCCCCTCCCCCCAAAGTGATGCAGCATAGCAGGCTAATGGGTTTTCATTGATTCTGCCCATGAGGCCGGTGAGAGTGTCATATAACATGAAAGAATGCCGGAGCCTAGCGTGGCATTCTGAGACCCAGGGGGTGGTCTATGTGTGTGGGGTGCACACAGTCAGCAACTCACAAGGGCATCTGGAGCAGTGATTTAAACATCTTATCTCTGGATACACTGGAATGCAATGCACATTTCACAAACTAGAAGGCTCACTCTGAGGGGTGTTCTTTGTCCTCAATTTTCTTCCAAATCTGTGGTTTGGGTGATAAAATAGTGTGGTATACATCTCCCACAACCCTACATAGTGGTTCTCCATCCTAGGAGCAGCAAATGAGTCATACAGGAAGCTATTAAGAATGTGGATTTCTAGGATTCACTATCTGAGGATGGCTCAGGAATCTGCACTTTTGTAAGTTCCACAAGTTCCATGGGACACACTCTAAAAGACATGAGCAGAGCCCTTGTAGTTGCTTCCAGAACACAGCATGCTTCCCCTTTTGTACGTCACGTCTGCAAATTCTCTTAGCGCAGTTTGTAAAAACTGAGAACCAATGTGGAAAAAACACTTGATTAGCTCTGTGGGGGGTACTGTTGGAAGCCTGGATCTAGGAGCAGAGATAAGATCAGGAACCCAGCTCATCTCAGAAGAGACCATCCAAGTGACTGTGGCACAGGTCATAATTATTTAGAACCTGGCAGCCTGTTTTCCCTGCATTTTGTGTTTAAGGAAGCTCATTCTGTGAGTCTGGGCCATCTTCCAACTGGGTCATGCTTCAGGTGTCTTTCAGGCTGGGAACCTCCCCCACTGACCCACAGTGCCCACAGACATAAAGGTGCCCAGAGGGGAGAACTCACGGCTTGGTCCATGGATCTTGATGGGCTTACTGCTGGTCATGGACTGGGAGCATGTCTGACACACACACTCTTTACCACTGAAGGTCACCTTGTCTCCAATGGGGAAAGGCTTCCTGCAAGGGGTAAGAGGAAAAGATTCAGCACCCCTCTCCTGAGGGGTCCTGTGGCTATTAGTGACATGACAACACATATGCTCACAGCACTTTGGTAATACACACGGCTTGTCTTTTGTGCATCAGGTAATTCAAAGGCTGTTCACAGTTCCAGGCTACTTAAATCACTCAATTAGGGGCCAGGAGACCAAAATTGGTGGTTCAGCTGGGCCACTTACATGATTTTGATAGTGGGAAAATCATGACATCTATTTGAGCCTATGTTTTCTCTTCTATAAAATAAAGAAGTTAGTAACTTGTCATAGAATTGTTCCTTCTTCCTGGAAGGACTTTTTCATCCCAACATGACCTATCCCATGTCAAGGAGCCCTTATTTCCAACTGGAAGCTCTTAAGATCACAGATCAACCTGTTCTTGTCCTCCTCTGTATCTGTGCAGCTTGAGATCCATGCTCAAGGGTGTCCAATTAGTGCATGTTTTTCCTCCTCAATTAAATTATAAGCTGGATACAGAATCCTCAGCATCACCAACATTACTGTTCAGTTGGTCTTGCTCATGCAGTTTGGGGCACCTGCTGTATTAACTCTAAGCCTAACCAGTGGCATAGGCTTCTATGGTCTCACTGTCCTTGTACTAGCAAATGTGGGACATTGGAGGAGACACTGGGGTTAGAGTCAGGGGAGCCATGTTCTCATCATGGTAAAAGGACCAGACATGTCCTTGGGGAGTCACCTCATCTTTTGGGCTTGACATAAACTTCACTTTATACCATAAGGACACTGACCATGCTAACTTCTTATGGGTCTGGGGCTCCAGTGCCCACAGCCCAGGTTTTAAAAGATGGCTGAATGAATGAAGTCCACTGGGTGATCTTTTCTTACATACTGTGGCATTACAGTCTCATGCAGAAATTATCCATTTACTTATGTTAACTGGTTACTGGTTAGTGGTTATCATATGGGAAGAATAATTAATCTGTAAATTTCTTTCCTAATGAGAAAAAATACATATATACTCAAACCATTATTTACTTCTGGCTTGATCAGTCCATTTTTTAAAGTGGACTTTATTTGTTAGAGCAGTTTTAAGTTCACAGAAAAACTGTACAGAAAGCACAGAGAGTTTCCCTTATCTCTCTTCTTCCCACTGTACGTTCATTAAATTTTAATGTATTTGTGGCAGGGCTGAGGTTTTTCCTTTCTTTTTCATCTCTTTAATATGTTGCTGGCATATAATGGGCCCTCAATATATGTTTGCTAAATTAAGAAGAGGGTGGGAAACAGAGGGCTAGGGAAGTGGGCTATCCATGTCTAGAGATATCTGAGACAGGCCAGATGATTATAATTATTATAATTTAAAAAAATAAGAAGAACAGACACATTTATGTACTATCACTGAGCTGAGGTCTTTGCATCACCTCACTTATCTTCATGAAAACCTGATAAAATTGGAATAGTTTTGATTCCCATTTTATAGATGAGGAAGCTGAGGCTTACGGGGTGTGGTACCCGGCCAGGGTCAGTGCATCACAGCGGGAGGCAGCACCAGGTCCATGGAGGAAGGCTATAAACAGACATCCTTGTACTACATGTGCGTGAGTGCAGGGGAGGTTTACTCAGATCTCTGGCTTCCAAATTCAACCTGCCAGACCAGGGCTACTCAGAGGTCCCTCTTGGGGCCTCTTGGTGGGATATTGGAGTACAGGAACTTAGATCCTCATTCAGCTTTTATTACAGGACAAATGGGTGTTCTGCATAAGATGGCATTTGAAAAAAAGCATTTAAGGGCTACATGTTTGGAAACCACTGTCTTATATGACCTAGAGTCTAGAAATCCAAGGCTCCAATGTAAAACCCGTAAACCTCACAATTACTTGGGTGAACGTTGTTTCTTCCCCTCCCCTGGGGGCCACACAGAGGGTCCCTACCCTGCTGTCCCCTCCCGCTCACCTGCATAAGCTGCACACGAAGCACTTGGGGTGGTAGGTGCGGCCCAGGGCAGAGATGACCTCGCCTGTGATGAAGTCCCGGCAGCTGTCACAGCGGGTGCCATAGAGTTGCTGGTAGTCCTGGGTGCAGATGTACTCCTGGTTCTTGAAGAAGAAGCCCGACTGGGCCAGGCCACAGCCACACACTTGGGGAAACAAGGAGGCAAGGACAGGTTATGTCCAGGCTTTTGCTGGGGGTAGGCTGGTGTCTTATGTCATGAGTTGTCATCAGATCTCATGGGCCTTTGGGGCCAGTGCTCCTCAAAGTATGTCCTATAGACCACTTACATCAGAATCATCTGGGGAGCTTGTTAAGATGCAGGTGGTTGGGACTGAATCAGACTCTTTAGGGGTGGGGCCCAGGAATCTGCTTTTTTAGCACACTCCCCCGGTGATTGTGCTGCATACTGATCGAGAATCCCTGGTGCTGTCTAAGCCTCTCACTACATGGGTGAAAAGTGTTAAGACTGTGTGGCTCACACAACTCTGCACAGCTCACAGTGTCATGAATTTGATAACAGAACCATCCCATTAAACATTACGTGGGTACTTCCTGTGTGCATGATTCTGTGTCAGCCAGAGCAGTGTGGGGAACCACGTGAGCAAATCCCAGACAGGAGACAACTTAGGATGGCAATGTGAGGGGTGACTGGGAGTTTAGAATCTGTCCTCACCAGAGCACAAAGGGGGGCTGTTCCTAACCAAAAACAGTAAGATACAATCCTCCAATTGTGAGATGCTAACAACGGTTGGGCAATCCTGCTTCCGTAGTGATACAGCCTCGGAAACCCAAGGAGGGGTTGCTATGAGTCAGGGCTGACTTGAGGCACATAACAACAACAACAACAACAACAACAACAACAATGTATGCAGAGAGAAGAAATATAGAAAACTGTGAGATATCATGGGTGTGGGCCCTGCCTGTGGTGCTGGCACAATTGCAAAGTGAGCGTGGTGAAAGGGAGAGCACTGTCAGCAGGGGAGGGTCATGGAACATTTGATATACCTCAGAGGAGGAACAGAATGAGCACAGGAAGTTGAAGTTTCTATTGGTGTGGAGGAGGGGCTGGGGTGGTGTGATTTCTGTAGGGGTTGGAGGGAAGCAATACATGAAAATAATGCTCAAGCCAGTTGGAGCAGTGCCTGAATCCAACTTAAGAAGTTTAGACTTTGTGCAGCATTGAGAAGTGATAGATGATATTTTTTCTCCTAGTTATTAAAAACTTTTTTAGGGGAGGTGGGAGAAGGAGAGGAATCTCAAACAGATACAAAGGCAGAGAGATTATTATAATAATGTAAAAACGATCAACTGCATTGATGTCTTTTGAATAGAGAGGCAACATGATTCCTAAGGTGTTTTATAAAATCGCTTGTGGACAATATGAAGAAATGTGGGAAAGATGATGGAAGGACAGGTGACTTACAGGTGTGTGGACAACTGAATCATGTGGGACCCACCTCCCAAAGGACTGAGAATGTGGGAAATAAAATTTCCCTCTGAAAGTTAAGTTATGAAATCAACACATAATGGCAGAGCAGAGAGAGGCAGTAAGCCTCTTAGTGTATCGATCCAGCTAACATAAGGTAGGTAGTCAGGAAGAGGGATGCAAACAATCAAAGGAAGAAAACTGGACAGTCCATTCAAATCCTGTGGCCAGCTCTCCTTGTTCTGAGTCTGCCTTTACCAAGTGACTGTCTGATTGCTGACCTTCCGAATAGGCTGCCTTTGGGAGAGAAGGAGCTGGCCAGGCTACAGTGAACTAATTCAACTGAGAGTTACAGCTCTTTTAGTACATTAATCAACAAGGCCCTCTGGCTTGATACACTGCTTTCCTAAGGACTTTGTTAACATGAGTCAGATTCTCAAGCATGATCAATGATGGAGAAACTAATGAGATGGAGTTTCCAAGGCCACAAATTTGAGGACCAGAACTGGGCTGCGGTGACATCACCTCAGTAAATACTACCTCATTTTTAACAGGGAAAGTTTTTCTGCAAAAGTAGGGTAAAAAATAGGAGGAGCCTCCAGGTGAATGCTAGAAATATTTTACAACTATTTGTTCACCTTTGAACACCAGAGACAGGCTTAAAGGTTCAGGCAAGTGAGGAGGTGAGGGGCTCTGGAGGATATAGCTCAGGGGAAACAACACAGGATAGTGAAGAGCAGTGGTCAGGGAGTCACTGATTCTGTAGGTGACAATGACCTTGGCTTTCTTTTTTTCTGAGGCTTTTGTTCACTCATACATAAAATGAAAAGGGCTGGTCTAGAAATGACCTGAATTTTCTTCTAGAACTGATATCCTATCAGTCTATTAGAAGGGGAGAGCTCACTTCAGGGTTTACCACATGCCTAAACATTTTAAACAGAGTGTGTAGTGGAAGTGGAGGCCCCTGAAGACTATACCATGGAGAAGGAGGACATATGAGTAGGGTGGTGGTAGATGTGGAAGGTGGGGTGGTTTCATCTTCCATCAGGCCTCTTGAAAATTCATCACATCAAACAATGCCTGCCCTGGAGGGCAGGCTAGGCCAGAGAACAAATTGTTCTGGGGTGTGCAGGTGGCAGATCAATTGACTTCATAGCTGTGGAATTAGTTAGGTCATGGCCTACGACCTCGTTGGAAATAACTCCTGTTTTTTCCCTTCTTTTCTCTCCTTTGTTTTCTCCTGCCAACTCCACCCCCAGAGCCATCTCTCCCAATGGAGAAAACTAGGAGGCCCTTAGAAACTTGGAACAATCAGTTCCTCCATTTCCCCCAAGGAGCTGAAGGAGGAAGTTTATGGTAGAAAGGATGTAAAGGTTGATGAGAATCTCAGAGATTCCTGGAAGTATAGTGGGGAACAAAGGATAGAAGGTATGCTGGACCAGCTTAAAATATGTGCATGAGGCTGAGCAGAACCAGGGGCTCAAATAACAGGAAAGGCCCCAGAGACAGTTTGCAATACGGAACTAATGTGGGATTAATACACCTGGGACAGTCATTATTCAATCAAAAAGAAGAGCATATGGTTTGACAATGGGACAAATTATGAAAAGTTAGAACTGCTTGGAGAAAAATCCAGAATGAATAATCCCTGTAAATATAATGCCTAGAAGGAGGCTTCTCATACATCTGCACCAGGTTGTCACTGGACCTTTGTCCATGTTCCTATTCTGTCACTTGAGTGCTAGTAACTTTGGGAAAGTTACTTTACCTCTGTGAGACTCAGTCACCTTAGTGAAATGAAGGGGCTAGTTGGTAACTGAGTACACATCCAAATCTGAACAAAAAAGCCAAACACACTGCCATGGAGTCAGATCTGACTCATAGCGACCCCTCCTTGAGTTTCTGAGGCAGTGTCACTACGGAAGTAGATTGCCCAACCTTCCTTCAGAGGAGTGGCTACCAGCCTTCTGGTTAGCAGTCAAATGCCTTAGGCACTATGCCACCAGAGTTCCTATTCAAATCTGAGTCCAGGTTTTTGTCATACAATTCTGATTGATTTTAAACTCTTTAGATTAGTCTGAATTTTATGAAAATTCAAAATCAAAAAGGTAGAAGGGCCCCTGAGGGTGATCTAATTCATTATTTAAAACATTTTAATTGTGAAATATATTAAACAGAAAAGTACACAAAATAAATATATACAGTTATAGAAAAATAATAAAATATACTCCCATGAGCCTACTCCCAAGGTTGTGAAATAGAATATAACCAGCCTCTTAGAAGTTGGTTTGGGCTCTCTGCAAGGTGATTTTTTTTTTTTTTTGGGTCATGTCTTTTGATGAAATAAAGTTCTTAGTTTTAATGAAACAGAATTTATCTTCCTTCGCATTTCTTTAGGAGCTCTGATGATGCAGTGCTTAAAGCACTGGGATGCCAAACAAAACGTTGGTGGTTCAAACCCACCAGTTGCTCCATAGAAGAAAGAGGAGGCAGTCTGCTTCTGTAAAGATTTACAGCCTTGGGAACCCTATGGGGGCAGTTCTACGCTGTCCCACAGAGTTGCTATGAGTTGGAATTGACTTGATGGCAGCAGGTTTGCTTTTTTGCTTGCTTTTTTTTTTTTTTTTTTAATAGCTTTACCACCTGTGCTTTTGTTGTTGTTGTTGTTATGTGCCGTCGAGTCAAACCCGACTCATAGCGACCCCTCCTTGGGTTTCCGAGGCAGTATCACTACGGAAGTAGGATTGCCCAACCTTCCTTCCGAGGAGTGGCTGGTGGGTTTGAACCGCCAGCTGTCTGGCTAGCAGGCAAATGTCTTAGCCACTGTGCTACCACCTGTGCATGCATCCATAAACAAGACACTGTTTGTTTAGTCTTGCCCATTTTTGAACTTTATATTGATGAAACCATACTGCATTCTTCTGTGCTTGTTTCATTCTCTTAGTATTATGTTTTTGAGATGTATCAATGTTGATGCATATAATTGCAGTTCATTCATATTTTTCTGCTTTGCAAAATCTGAACATATGACAATCTATTATATTGCTAAAGGATAATGATATTGAATAATATAATTAATATCACACACAAGTAAAATTTTGCTGAAAATAATTAAAAAATGGTTACAGCAGTACATAGGGAACTGCCAGAAATTCAAGTGGGACCTAAAAAAAGGATATGGAACGAGGGATGTTATTGCTGATGTCAGGTGAATCTTGGCTGTAAGCAGAGAATACCAGAAAGATGTTTTCCTGTGTTTTATTGATTATTCAAAGGCATTCAACTCTGTGGAGCTTAACAAATTATGGATAATATTGTGAAGAATGGGAATTCCAGAACACTTAACTGTGCTCATGAATAACCCAGACTAAGTACCTAGACCAAGAGGCAGTCATCTGAACAGAAAAAGTGGATAGTGCATGGTTTAGAATCAGGAAAAGGTATGAGTCAGTTTTGCATCCTTTCACCATACTTATTTAATCTGTATGCTGAGCAGATAATCTGAGAAGTTGGACTATAATGAAGAAGAATGTGGCATCAGGATTGGAGGAAGACTCATTAACAACCTGTGACACGCAGATGACACAACTTTGCTTGCTCTAAGTGAAGAAGACTTTAAGCACTTACTGATGAAAATCGAAGACTAAAGCTTTCAGTATTGATTGTACCTCAACATAAAGAAAATAAAAATCCTCACAATGGACCAGTAAGCAACATCA